CGTGCACGGGGGGCGCCCTGGGGCCACTGTGGTTCGCGCCGTGGGGGAACAGTGCCCGTACCTTCTGGCTGGGCTGGGCAGGCTCCGAGCAGGGGACACTCGGGCTGGGGGCCGCCCAACGAGGCACACGGAGCCGCCTGCAGGTGCCGCAGGACGGCCAGAAGCAGTAGCAGCAGCGGGGCCATAGAGGGAGGGGTGCTGCCATGTGGGGCCCGCGTCCCGCTCTCCAGGGCTCTGCTCCCTCTGGGGCTACCCTGCCCCGGCTCCTCAGCCCCCTGCCAGGGTGGTCCCCCGGCTCTGCCCTCCTGGGTCCCGGCCAGTCCTGGAGGCGGGCGCCCCGGCTGGAGGGACCCTGGGCCGAGGTGCGGCCCGGGAGCTCCGTTGCTTACCCCGACCCTGCTAGCGCCAGACTGGCTGGAGGCGAGGGGGGGAGCGGGCGGAGTCAGCACTGGGGGGGGGGAGCCCAGGGGTGGGACGGCAGGGGGTGCAGGTGGGAGGGGGGAAGACAGAGCCCAGGGCATGGGCGGCAGGGGGTGCAGGTGGGAGGGGGGAAGAGAGAGCCCAGGGCTGGGGCAGCAGGGAGTGCAGGTGGGGGAGGGCACTGATGTGGGGGGGTGAGAGCCCAGGGCTGGGGGCAGCCAAAAATTTTTTTGCTTGGGGCGGCCAAAAACCTAGACCCGGCCCTGCTGGTAACCACAGACTGCTACCATTCAGTTGCAAATCAGTTTGGAGTTGGAAGTCCACCGAGGGGGCTGTGTTAACACAAGTGTGCAGAGCCATTAATCACATCCTGCTACAAAGGACTGTGACTTTTGGCAATGTGCGTGAACTAGTGGATGGCTTTGTGGCAATGGTATTCCCTAACTGCAGCGGCGCTATAGGTGGCACATATTCCAATTTTGGTGCCAGACCATCTTGTGATGGAGTACATGAATAGAAAGGGGTACTTCTCTATGGTATCGCAGGTACTTGTGGATCACTGTGACCATTTTACCAACATCAACGGAGGGTGGTCCAAGAAGGTGCATGACTCATGCACCTTCAGGAACACTGGCCTGTACAGAAAGCTGCAAGCAGGGACTTTCTTTTCAGACCAGAAGATTCTAGTGGGGAATGTTGAAATGCCCATAGTCATCCTGGGAGATCTGGCGTACCCCTTAATTCCATGGCTCATGAAGCCTTACATGGGAAACCTGGACAGCAGCAAGGAGCACTTCAACAATAGGCTGAGCAGGTACAGAATGACTGTAGAATGTGCCTGTGGCAGATTAAAAGCACGCTGGCGCTGCCTTTATGACAGGGTAGACCTAAATGAGGAAAATATTACCATGGTCACAGCAGCCTGCTGTGCGCTCCATAATATTTGTTAGGCTAAAGGTGAAAAGTTTCCCGCAGGGTGGAG